GTTACCCCTCTGTACTTCTCATTTTGCTCTTGGGCTGTTCCGGATTCTCTTTGCCGTCTGCACTCTTGCAGCTCACCGAGCTCCGACTGGAGAGAGTTATCAGGTGGTTCATGGTTCTGTCGCAGGCTGTTTTGTTCTTTGGACGGTGTCCTGCTTCCCTGTTCGCAAATGTTTCTCCCTCCACGTTCCCCAAAGCCTCGTGCGCTCATGGGCGGGGCTTGTGGAGGGGATTGGATCGCGGGGCGTGGCCTCATCCGTGTGGAGCCCGAGGTGAGTTTACAGCCAAGTGTGCTGCTGGGAGTGCAGCCCGGTGGGAGGAGGTGGGTCCCGAAAGTGGCTATGAGGTCCTCTGTGCACGAGCTTCCACGGCAGCAGGGGGAGGCAGCATTCCCAAAGCCCCCAGGGTGCTGGGACTGAGTAGTAACTCCCCGTGCCCCTTTGTGACAAGTCATTTCGAGACGTGAGGGGTCCAGCACGTGGAAAGATGTCCTTCCCTGGGATGCAGTGTCTGGCAGCAGCACCCCGGCCTCCACACTTACCCTGCCGACGCCCCCCAACTGCGCCTTTCTTAGCCGCACTGTGACACTGGGGAGCCCATCGTGATCCAAATGCCTAACCGTCCCCACTTCTGCTTTGCAGTTTTGAAAGCCCCGTTAGTCCTTCTGCCAACTGGCTTGGTTATTTGTAGCTCACTGCTCCCCACACTCGTCTGTTTAAACACGTCCATCCTTCGCATGCTGTCCCTGTGGATCTGACGCTACCGCCTGGGGGTTTGGCTGCCTTGCTCTCTCATTTGCTTGGGCGACTTGTGCTTGACAATGTTTGTATATTTCTTGGATCCTTCTCTCTGGAGATTGAGGCTGAAGTTGAAAGTGGATTCTTCTACAGACCATTTTCATTTCCTTTTCCCTTGGACCAGGAGTTCCAACAGCTCAGAATCCCACTTTAGGGTTCAGCTCCAGGCTTTTGGGACCATAGGAAGTATAAATTCTGGCCATCCCTTTTCTTTGTTTTTTGGGTTTTTTTTTTTTTTTTTTGGTATCGAGGATGGAACTTCAGAACTTGTACTTTCAAAGCAGACGACGGCACCACTGAGCTAAATCCCCAGCCCTGGCCATCCCTTTCTTAAGTACCAAATTAGAGTTGCACCTTGTGTTGCTGTTCTAGGAGCTGCTGCGACAAAGTGTCACCAACTGCATGGCTTAAGTGACTTCTCTCTCAATCCTGGAGGCCAGAAATTCAAGCTCAGGGGAGGTCTTGCAGGGTTGGTTCCTCCTAGAAGCGGGGGCAGTACCTGCCTGGGCCTATCCCTCAGGATCTACAGTGCTGGTCACCTGGGGTGTCCCTCAAAGATGCAACACCCCACCTCTGTCCCGTCTTTACACAGCGGCGCTCTCCATGCACAGCTGCCCAAATTCATAAGGACCTTGGTCACACTGGCATAGGGGACCCTGGGGACCCCATCTTAACCTGATTACATCTGCAAAGTCCTTATTTCCAAATAATGTCACATTGGCCCATACTGGGGCTAGCACTTCAGGCTGTCATCGTGAGGAATATGATTCAGTCCAGGCTGTACATTCTCTGGAAGGGTTTGTTTCTGCTCCCACTCACGGTTTAAGATGCAAGAAGGGTTTGCATTGCTGTCTCTTGGTGTTGCTGGCAGTGTGTACAGGATGGGGAGGATGGACAAGGGGCTATCAAAATCCACAGGTGCTCAGTTTAACACTTCTAGGGCCGGAGATTTAGCTCAGCAGCACCGCACCTGCCCTGTAAGCCCAAGTAGGTCCTGAGTTCGACTCTGGTACCAAACATTAAATAAATAAATAAATAAAATAAAAATTACTGCAGTAAAAGACACATTACCGTTCATTCCCCTCAAAATGCTCCCCTTCACCTTGAACACTCAGCCTATCCTTCTTGCCGTTTTCAGAAGCAGTTGTGGAATAGTGAATACTGAGCCCCAGGAGAGGCAGCTTGTGAAACCAGGGTGCTGTGTCCTCACGCCCCCCCCGATTCAACAAGTTCGGCATGGTGCGACTTCTGGCCCTTTCCCCGAAATCACAATGACCATGAAAAGCCAATGGTTTGAATCAATCTAGGCCTTTGAAGCAGCCATGACAGCAAAACTAAAGACACACATGAAAGAGGACTCCAGAGCTGCTTCAGGAAGGGGCAAGGAGGACAGAGGGGGTGTTCTGAGGAGGGGGATCCTGAGGGAGGTCAGTGGTGGCCGTGTGCCATTTACTGTCATAACAGAGGAGTGACTTTCTCTGTTTTCTGACCACACCCCGTACACAATCATCCTGACACTGAGGTGAGGCCCACCTGTGTCCCAGCTCCAAAGACAGCCCACCTTCTAGACTTGGCACCTGGTGGCCTCCAGTTCTGTCTCCTCACCCCTAAGGCTGGTCCTCGAGGTCCCTGGCTGAGCAGATGCCACAAAGAGAAAGTCGGCCAACCTCTGGGTTCCGCCAGTACTCTGCACTTGGCACGTGTTTCTCCTTTTTTGCCAGTTCGTGAAGGAACGGGGGCTATTTTCCCAGTGCCTGTGCTGTACCGGGGGGAGGGGCGGCCGGGGCGTGTGACCCGCCGTTTGCTGCAGGCGGGACAACCCCAAGGACGTCGACAGCCCTCCACTGGGACCTGCAAGCATTACCTTTCCTCGTAACTTCACTCTGACACCATGTATCGGTCAGGGCTTTCAAGAACAGATTAATATTCCGTGTCGTGTACAGGACTTGCTGGGTAGGCCAAGAAAGGCCATCTCTGTGCCAGAGGGCTGGGGGACCCAGGCCTGGCACTCACTGCAGAGTCCCATGTGAGTCCACATTGGAAAGCCAAAGGGTCTGTGCTGGAAGCCTGAAGGAAGTGGAGAGGAACATCCCAGGACGAAGACTGGCACGTTTCTGAAGTAGCAGAAGGGCAGGCTTCCTCCTTTCCCTTTTTACTCCACCCAGGCCAAAAGCCTATTGGTCAGAGCCACCCACATCCGGGGCAGGACTTCCCTCCTCAGTTTGTGGCCTGTGTGTCTGTCACCCGGACACACCCAGAACTGTGCTCCTCCAATCCTCCAGGCCAGCAATGGAGAACCTTGTAGAGCTTTCAATGATACAAACAGCCTGCTGCGGCAGGTGAGCCATGGGTTCGCCACCACTGGCATTTCTTAGTCCGTTCAAGTTGACATCTCAATGGGAAGTTGAGTGTAGGAAGTGAATACACCCAAGGGGGAGCCCTGACAAAGGACGGTGGAGGCGGAGGGTGGGGGACTCCTGTCTTGAAACCTCCAACGACGACTCCTGTGTGTGTTTCCTCTGTGGGGCAGGAGTCCCGGACACCTGGCTTTACGTGGGGCTTGGTCCTGGGCCCCGAGAACCTGTAGCTGTGGCTCCCTGTGCCCCGGGAGCTAGAAGCAGAGGCCCCAGCCCTGGAGAGCATGGACCTGTGGTTCTCTCCTTTTCTGGAGCCACCTTCTCTCCCCGGCCCATCTCTGCACTCTGTGCATTTTACACCATAGACAACGGATGAGATCTTGTCCGTCAGTTCAGGGTCCTGCAGCTCAACTAAGGGATCAACTGAAGTGGGCTGGACACAGGAATGCAAACCATGCCGTTTGCTCAGCCCTGCACCCCATGCGAGCTTCCCCCTGCTTCCTGCAGGGGGTCAGTGCGTGTGGGAGACAGACCCCCCTGTGAGGGCACCGTGCAGATCTGGCTTCCACCATGACCCATGGCAGCCCCAGGAGCTGAGCTCTGGCTGGCCTAGGGGAGGAGCACACACGGCAAGGCCAAGGTGGGCTCGGCAGGGCGGGGGTGGCCTCAGATGACACCCAGGTTAAGTACTACCCCTGCTGTCCTGGCAACCTCGTTCTGGGCCACTGGCTCAGGGGCTCTCACCCCAGGCGGCCCCCAACACTCCCCCTACTGTCCTCTGCAGGGAGTCAGGTCCTTCCTGCAAGCCAGAGGGACAGCTAGGCCAGCAGGACACGGGCAGGTGGTCAACAGTGAGCTGTGGGGCTGCTCTGAGCACCCCGAGTCACGTACTGATGCCCAACTCCCTGCGCCCGAGTGCGACTCCAGGGACAGAGCTCCTCTCACAGAAGAGAGGTTAGCAGGGCCCAAGCAGGAGCTCTAATCCAACAGGACTGGGGACCTCGGTAGGCCCTGGGAAAGCAAGCCGCAGCCACCCCAAGGGAGGGAGGACTGGGGAAGCCAGCACAGCGGCCCCCAGATTTTGACTTTGGTGTGAGACAGATTCTGAGGGCCGAGGTCGAGGAGACACAGCCACGGGGGGTTGGGGGGGGCTGTCCCAAGGGAGGTGGTCAGCCACCTGCTGTCCTGACAGGTGGGTGTGCAGGGCAAGGAGGGGACAGCATTGGCAGATGGTGTGTTGGGGGTCAAATGTGCCTCCCACCTCAGGTTGCAAAGCCCGCAGCAGACGTTTCTCCTCCCTTCCAGGCCACGTGGATGGCTTCCCTCAGGGAAGTGCTGTGGATGCCAGCAACTTGAGCAGGGGGAGGGGCAGCCATCTCCCCCAAATCTCAGCACCTACCTGCATGGAACAAGAGCCCACATCCACAGAGCCGCATGTCTCCTTTGGTCCTTGACGCAATCTGAGCCAGGCCTGCAGCATGGGCAGCTGCTGCCCACCCCCACAGCCCTTGCAGTCCCCTTGGTGATGGGACCCTGCTCTCCAGGATGGCCGAGGCCTCGCAGAGACCCTGTATTTCCCAGCCTCATGGCAGCCAGGAACAGCTCCGTGAGCAGGCACTGGTTACAGAGCCACAAGAAGACCTCTGCGTCTTCCCATGGCCTCACAGGCAGGAGCTCCTGCAGCTATGTTGGACCACGAGGCACTGGTGAGGATGGGAGGAGCCTGAGGCTCTGCACCTCTGGGAGGACAAGGGTGGGCCATAGCTGCCTGGCCTGGAGCTGGGCCAATCCTGCAGGCTCAGAGGAAAGAAACACCACACCCTCACCCCAGGCCATGACAGGAGAATCTTTCCAGCAGAAAAGGACATAAGTTTATTTGGAGTAAAAACCGTGGTCTGAAAAAACCCATTGGCAAATGTTTGTGTTTCACTTGGGGTCACGGCTCCCGGACCCCAGATCCCTGACTCGCATGCAAGGGGCTCCAAAATGTTCACAGCTGATCCGGGCCCAGGTCCTTGGCCCTACTGGGGGCAGCCCGCCTCCCACCACCCTGCTCGGTACAGTGCAAAAACAAAGCCAAACCAAACACAAAGATCAAAACAAACACAGAACAAAACATTCACAAAACCCAGGCTCTGAGGGATGCATTTCTCAGTGTTAATACCCACGGCCTGAGCCTGCGAGAAATCTCCCCTCTCCCTCAGACGGCGCGGGATGCTGGGGAAATAACCAGTCTTTTCCCTTAAAAACACACGGGCGGAACAAAACATGAGACAGAACCTGCGAGGAAGCGAGGCTGCACTCTCCCTGCCGTCCTGGCTGTGCTCCCTCTCGGAGCCGCTCTGTGCTGCCCTTTCCGCTCCTCTCCTCCCCACCCTGCCCGATGCCCCGCTGCTGGGGTGCAGACCGAGCACAGGAGCCACTCACCTGGCCTGAGGCACCGGGCCAGCGTGATTCACACACAGGACCACCGCCCACAGCCTGGCTGACCCTCCCTGCCCTGCGCCGCGCAGCTGACAAGGACACAGGGCCGGACACAGGGCGGGAGGAAGCCAGGAGCCCCAGTTTTGCCTCACAACTGAGAGGGAAAGAGTCACAGGGTCTTACAGAGCCTCAAGGCAGAGAATGGGGCGTGGCCAAGCCAGCAGGAAGTCCCCTTGAGGACGTGGGAGAGGTAACAGGTACAGCCACCCCCAAGAGCACTTATTTCCGGTTTGCCAAGGCCTAAATGTGAGCCGCAGAGGCCCTTGGAGGGAGACTGGCCAAGACAGGCAAGAGCTGATCCCTTGCAAAGCCGGGCAGACCCCGGAGGCCCCACACAGGCACAGCAGGGAGGAGGGAGGGCAGCGGGGCCATGGTGACGGACACCTATGCCCTGTAGGGGCTACAGAAGGTGGGTCACTGGGCAGCAGGCTCAGGGAGGGCCCGGCAAGGCCCAAAACAGTACCATCAACTGGGGGTGGGGTCCCCAAGGTCCTCGTCCCTTGGGGCCTCCTGAGAGCCGGCTGCCCTGTGGGGTCTGCAGGCTCCACGTGGTGGGAAGTCCCAGGAGCCAGCAGCACTTGGGGCCCTCATGAGCTCCCTCCTTTTGTACCCCAGCAAAGTAGGCTGGGCAGGACCACGGCAAACAGCCTGGTTCTGGTTCCCGCTGCCCGCCTCAGCCGAGAGCCCCCAGAGCAGCAGGGAAAGGGGCTGAGTCCAGGGGCTGAGAAGACGGGCTGGGGTGCCCCTTGAGTGTCCCCAGCCCCCGAGACACCATCTGCTGTTTAATCCTAGGCACCTGAGCGCCGTCTCCTCCACAGGGCACAGAGGAGCTCCGGCCTCCGCTGCCACAGCAGCCCCTCTCCACGCTGGGCAGCACTGGCCCAGGTTTCCTCTATGTACAAGCAGTGTACCCACAGCAGCCCCCCGGGCAAGTGGAAGGGAACGGTCCGGGACCAGGACTCCAAGAGCCTGACCACCCCTACGGGCTGTCGATGGTGGGCGGCTTGGTGGGCGTCTCCCCTCGGAGTCATGGAGGAGCCAGACGGACTTCAGGGCAGGGGACACTCTCCCGAGAAAATCCGCAAACGGTGTCCAAGCCCCTGCGGTCACTGGACGCCCTCCTCTTCCACGTACGTTGAGGGAAACCAGCCGATCTGAAAGAGACGGCGAGATGGCGTGTGTGTCCGTGGCTGTCGGGGACAGCAGGGTGTGTGCAGGTGAAGGACCTGCGAAGGCGCAGCGGGCCCCGGGAGGGGCTGAGGGCCCGGCAGAGCATAAAAGAAGCCCCGAAACACACCAGCCTTGGCCCGTGGATTGATCCGACGGCTGGAAAAGAATCGACCCTGCTGGGGCCAGAACTGGCCCAGAACCCCCAGCCTCACATGCAGCCTGGTGCTCCCTAATACTGTGAGACACTGCCAAGCAGGATGGGACGGCAGAAACCGCCCTCAAGTCACCATGGGGGGCAATCAAGGCCAACCAAAGAGGCAGACGACATCACAGCCAACAGACCGTCGGGACCCAGGGAAACCCTGGGACCGAGATGCCGAGACCGAAGCAAGACCCAGGTGTGGACAGGTGCGACAGACCAAAGACCAGATGGACAGCCGGGAAGGGGAGAGGGACATGGGCCACAGCAGACCTGACACCGTGCACAGGCAGAACGAGGACATCAGGTGTGGACAGGACAGGCTGCGTCAGTGGACGGCCAGGGGCCATGGTCGGGGTCCCCCACACCCAGTCCATCCAGTGCGGACAATTCCAACCCGGAGAAGGGGGGAGCCAGGGACAGCAGGAAGTTCCTCCTTGAGACAGGAAGCCAGTCCCGGGAGAAGGGCGGTCAGAAACAATCTGTGCAGGCCAGGTCCATGAGCAAACATGACAAACCGGCTGGTGAGCCTAGGAGGCACTGCAGTCGCACCGGCTACCTGCAGGGCCCGTTTCCGGGGCCCTCGGATACCCAAGCCGGAAACGCTCTGGCCTGTCACGTGCCACAGCGGGGCGTTGACATGGAACCTGGGCACATCCTCCCGTGTGCTTCAGGGGCCTCCACCACCCTGGGTACCCAGTGCCACGGAATGCCACGTCCACACTGCTGTGCTGCCTCGTTCAGGGGATGATGCCGGGGAAAGGTCCGTACGTGCCCTATACAGACGCAACTCTGAAAGAACACTTTGGTCTGGGGTTGGCTGAATCCATAGATGTGAGACCTACAGACAGAGGCCCGATTGTACACAGTGTGCATCGAGGTAAAACATGTACTACATTCGAAGGCACCTCCTGAGTCTTCCTCGTAGAACCTCTCACTCCCACACTCCTCTGGCCTCCCTGCCTCCTTCGGAAGCAGCCCTGCAGCCCTCTTTCACGAGTGTTCGTTCCATCTGATGGAAAGGCCAGCCACAGAAACACGGTGCCCGGGCCTCGTCCGCCTTATTCACCGGACCTGGCATCCTGTGACTTCTGGCTCCTCCCCGAAGCCAAAATGACCATGAAAGGGAGTAGTTTCAAATTGATTCAGGACACAGAGGCTGCCACGTCAGCAAAACTAAAGACATTCAGGAAAGAGAAGAGGACTCTGGAGCTGCTGCAGAAGCGGCATCGATGCTGGAACAAGTGTTCAAAGCAAGGGAGAGCAGGGCTGGGGATTTAGCTCAGTGTTCCGTCGCCTGCCTCCCCGCCTCCGAGTTCGATCCCCAGTACAAAAAAAAAAAAAAAAA